TTTCCTTCTGTTTGATTACTTTGTTTTATTTCTTCTTTGTATCTATTTGTCTTTATCTCTTGACACAATATATAAGCCCCTCTATCAAATTTTCTTCGATCTCTAATGAGGTGAATCAGTACATCTTCTGGTTTGATTTGTTTTGTTGGTTCGTCTTGTCTAATTTTAAGAGTGAATTCTAATATAAATTCTATAAGTAGTTGTTCAATGAGTTCAACAGTTTCATCCATACAATTTTCATCACCATTCGCTTTTAAATATTCTTTTATTGTTTTAATGAACGAACCTCTTGTATAAGTTTTTCTTGATTTAGTTTGTTTAATTTCATCAGACACATCATCATTTTCTGCCATTTCAAAAAGAGTAATTTTTAAGATTTTCTTATTTTTTATTTTTTTACTTATAAAAAAGGGAAATAAAAATTTCTTTTACTTAAAAAAGTAAAAATTGGTTCGAGTTAAAACTCATAAATCTTTACATACTTACTTAACAATTATGCAACATTTTAAAATACTTGCCATTGGAGATGACACCGCTAAAAAAGTTCAATTATTGACTACGTTCATTGAAGGAAAATATCCTAAAGAATATATCCCTACTGTTTTTGAAAATTCTACTAAAACACTTAAAATAAGAGGAAAACAAGTGGTTGTAGATTTATGGGATTCAACTGGATTTGAAAGTTTGTCTTCTATAAGACAGCCATTATATTCTAACGTGGATATAATATTAGTTTGTTATAGTGTTGTAAATAAAAACTCGTTCATTAATGTAAAAAATAAATGGTATCCTGAAATGAAATCGTTATGTCCTCATACTCCATTTTTCCTTATTGCTACTCAATCAGAAAAGAGAAATAAGTGTTGTGAAAATAAAAACCATCTTATTTCTACTGGAGATGGATTACAACTATCTAAAGAACTTAAGGCTATTGAATATATTGAGTGTAGTGCTAAAAATAATGAAAATATTGATTATATCTTTGAACAGTGTATTAAAGTTCTTAACCCTGATCTTCACAACCAACAAAGTTATGTTCAACAGTCTTTATACGAAGATCGTAGTACATTTATCTTATGCTATCTTTTGTTTTTGACTCTTTACATTGCCTCTCTCTTTATTGTTTCAAAGTAAATTCCTTCTTTAATTCATTTCAATTATTTCAATTTTATGTTTAATTTAAAACAAACAAAAAAAAAAGAAATTGTTTATTATTAAATTTCTTCTTCTCTAACTGGAAGATAAAAGTTCTTTAATTCATTATAACGGGGATCTAATTTCATTGTCTTTGATACTCTAAAATATTTTTTGACAAGAGGAATTAATACAACTTTATTTTTATTCATAAAGAAGCTATGAAAAGCATTAAGATTAATATCACTAATTCCTATAGGGTTATAACTTTTATTAATTAATTCAACTACTTCAGTGACATCATTATCATCTAGCCAACTAATAATAAATGAAATATTAATACGGTTTTGTTGCGGAAGAACTTCATTTATTATTCTTTGTGTTATATTTGATTTAAAACTAATTGTTAATTTTTGCAAGGATTTGTTATTTTTAATTGCAGCAAAAACATCTTCTAATACTAGATATTTTGGATTATCTCCAATACGAACATTAAGTTCTCTAAGCATGGGCATTGTTTCTAACTTAAATACTACAGAATAATTTGTGTCAATCCCAATAGTAGATATTCGATCTCTAATACTTAACGCTACCTTACAGTCTTCAAGATTATCTTTCATCATAAATTTATAAATGTTAAACATCTTATACTTCTCTACTATAATATAAATGATACCCAATTTTTTGACTTAATTTGGTTGTATTAATAAAACAAACAATCTGCTTCATTCATTTTTTCTAATTCTCGAAAATGAACTTGATATGTATCTAATTGGTCAAATACTTTTGATTCAATTCGTTGCATCCTTCCTATCCCTAAAGTAATAGCAAGTCCAATTGAATTAATCCCACAACATGGATTAATTCTTGTAGCACTAATAGCGGTTTGACAATTATGAGATACAAGATTAAATCTACATAATGTATCAACTGAATCAAGGTATTTAAGAACAACCATTAAATAACAAGGTTCTAGTTTTGTCTATTGCAATAAGTACAAGGTTTGCCAACAATAATGAAACACTATAAAAACAAACTAACATTCGATTTACTAAAATTCAAAGTTTCCTCTTTTTTTATTTTTCTGTTTTTTGTCCTAAATAACAATTAATTTATTTTTAGTAATAATAATTTTGATATAAAAAACAAAACATTCATTTATTTTTACTTTTAGTTGATTTAGTTTTTGATTTTGGTTTTGTTACCCGTTTTTTCTTTAATGGTGGTGGTGCAGCAACTATTTTTCCACTTGAGGCAAAAACCATTTGCCCAGTTCTTTTTCTGTTATCTTTTTGTGTTTCTGTTTCGTTTTTTTCTTCTTCTTCATCAGTCCAATGAACGTCTTCGACTTCTTCAGAAGATTGTTCTCCAAGAAGAAGACTTTCTTCTGTAATTTTGTCTTTTAAAGCTTGTTCTATTGGTTTAGAAAAATCTTCTAATTCCCTTTTGTTTTTTTCTCTTTGTTTTTCAAGAGCACCACGGGCATTTTCTTCAATTTCCTTTAATGCAATAATATCACCAATAGCTATTCTATTTTTTTTAATATTTCTAACAATCAATAAAACATCTTTTATTGTTGGCATTGGTGGAATTTGATTAGTTTGGGCAATGCCATTCATTCTAGTTTCTTCTTCACAATAACCAAAAATATCTTCTGTGTTGAGTTGTGTTTGTTCAATAAGTGCCTGTGTTTCTTTGCTTTGGTCATTAGCCTTAAACAAAATAAGAGCAGTGCCACATTCTTCTATACTAAACTCACTAGCTTATATGTTATATTTTGATTCATTATTACTTATAATAATACAAACCATTAGCAATACATGTTATTTCTAATTCTTGTGTTCCTAAATTAATCCCTCCTTTAATTATTTTCTCTTTTCCTAATACCTCTACATGAATATTGGTTTCTTTTTCTAAACTATACATAAATCTATCACATAGTTCGTCATACCCAACAATGGCGAGTTTAAGTTGTTCAATTGACATTTCAATATTTTCTCATTACTTTCAACTCAAAATAATAATACTTTAAAATTTTTTAATTTTATTATAATTAAAATTATTTCATTCTCTTTGTTTTAAGAAAGAAAAAACAAAAAAAACAGTTAATGGAAATACCATTTGTTGTCCACTTTATTATTGGATTATCTCTTCGTTTAATATTATTAAATTTCTTACCTACTTATCTTTTACCAAGTAGAGTTGAGTTAAATACATCACCATTTGCTTTATTAGATCAGCCAAATGAAACATTATTAACTGAGGTATTTTCTTATATACCAAAAGAATACCTTTCTTATTTTGTAATTACATTGTCTGTGTTACCTTCCCTTCCATTAGTCACAATATCAAAGACATCAGCATGTATTATGTTGTATAATCCATTTGGTATTTTGGCTTCCTTATCAATATCCAGTTATTCATTAATAACATTACTAGAATCGTTAATTCTTCTTATTCCTAAACACAAGCACTTATTTTCTCCATTCCTTCCAGTAACAATCTTTTTATACCCAGCAACATTACCATTATTACTTCCATTGTTACCTTCCCTTTCACCAACAGTACTTATTACTTGTCCAATATTTTATTATTTCCGTTTTAGTGAAGAATTATTTGTTAGTGACTTAACACCAAATTTAGGTTTATATTGGAATTTATTTACAAATATGTTCCCTGAATATAAATTGATGTATACAGTCATACTACCATTAATACCATTAATCATTTCTTTCTTTATATTCCCTAGAATGATTACTCATCAATTCTATTATTTCTTCTGTGTAATGTTATTGATTGCTGTATGTAATCCTTATCTTTCTGTTCAAGACCTTCTTCTTCCAATGGCTTTGTATAATATCCCATGGTCTCATCTTTGTGTTTATTTCTGGAAAACAAAAGTACTAACCTTTATTGTTCCTATCCTTATTATCATGTTCTCTATGTTTAACGATGCTTTAAAATATGTTTGTTATTATTTATAGTTAAACTCTACTTTACTCACTAATTAGTCGTTCTTCAATAGCAACATGGCTTATTCGATGAATTTGGCATTAGGTTTTTCTTTATTCTCTTTTAGTGAAGAAATTATTAATGGGTGTCTTCATAACGATTTCCTTGTTAAGCATAAAGTATTAGAAGATCGTCATATCGATAAAATATTCTAGTTGAATAAAATCAAATTTTCAAAAATAAGACATTACTTCAGTTAATTGATGTTTCTTTTTATTAATTCAATTAATTATTTTTGAGACATTTTTTTGTTTTTTATAAGATTCTACCTTGTCTTTATAAAGTCTCATAAAAGTTCATTTATCATTTTAAATATGGTTGAATATTGTCAAAATAATTAAGTTATTATTATTTAAAGTGAGTTAAATTCAATATATACAACATCATCATTAAAACAAAAAAAAAACAATTTATTAAATTACTAATAACATTTGTAGATAAGTTATTTTGTTATTCAACAAAAAATGAATTAATTTTTAAGATAAGGTAAAACATCATTCAAAAAAGATTGGATCTTTTGTAATTGTTCTGTAGTTAAATTTAAATCATCTACAATTTTGTTTTCCAGTAATTTTATTAATCTTTCAATAAGGTCTTTTGTTTTAGGAATCATTGTGACATCACATTCAACATTTTTATGTTGTGTTTTAATGTTTTGTTTTCCATTTAATTTTTGAATAATAATTATTAATTCTACTGATACTTGGTAGAGCTGATTAGCGTCATTACATTTATGTACTTTGTGCATTAATTTATGGATTGTATGAATAGTTTTTTGTGATTCTTCATATAATTCTTTTGGTAACTGTCCTTGTTTTTTTAATGATTCTTTATACTCATTAATAGAAATTGATAATGCTTTATTTGGTATAATTGAATCTTTTCTTTCTTTTTCTATTTTCTTTTTATAAGTTTCTTGTACTTCACTTAAGAATATCTCAGAATCACTTTCTGACCATTCTTCACTATCACTAGTTTCTTCTTTATTTTTTTGTTTATTAAAATCTTCACTATTTTCACTTTCACTAGAATCAATATCACTAACTTTATCAATATTATCATTTATAATTCCTTCTTTTTCATTTTCTTCTTTATTATTCAGAGGTGTAGGAATAGGTTTTTCTGCTTGAATACTAATAAGGTTTTTACCTTTTTCTGTTTTTTCTTCTTCTTCTCGTTTTTTTCGTAATTCCTCAATTCTTTTTAATTTGGTTTCTTGAATTTTACATGTAATTTCTGGTAATGTTTCACATTCAGGTAAATATTTTCCAAGTTTTATATAAAGATCCACTATTTTATCATTTAATTGTCCTATTTCATATTCGTATGAAATAATTGATTTTTTCATTGATAACATCATTTCATTTAATGCAGCTGTTTGATCAAAGAATGTAAATCTTTTAATTGTTTCACTATTATCTAACATTGGAATTAATTTATCTTTTATTCCTGGTACAGTGTCAAGTTTCTCATAGAAATCTTTCATTACATCTTCTTTAAACCCAATTAACCCTTTAACAATAATAGGTATTTCTTCAATAATAATAGAATCACTAATAGATCGCTCATATTGTGGCATTTGATCATTTGAACTAATAATACTCAAAAATTGATTAACATGATCATATTGTGACAACACATAATCAGAAAATGGTTGCATGAATTCTTCTCTAAATGGACACAATGGTTGATTCGCAATAGACTGAACAACTTTACTAATTAAAATCAATGTACGATGTCCATTATCATTTGGAAGTAACATACGACTACCAAATCGTTGTGGAGAAACAATAGCAGGATTAATGAATCTTAAAAACAAAAATCCACCAATAGCAATTAGTGCATTTTCTGGCCATTTTTTCATTACTTCTTTCTTAATAATATTAAAAATATATGAAAAATCTGGAGAAATTAGTTTACTAAGAATATCAAATTTACATACATGTTCTTTTAGTATTGTTAATAATGTTTCAACATTTTTATCAACAACCTCTTGTGATACTTTGGTATTATCTACTTCAAGTTCATTTGGTTGTTCATTTACAACTTTTATTATGGGATTAATATATTCTTCTAATATTTTTTGTCCTTCCTTTTTCATAAATGACGACATTAAATGAGTAAATCCTCCGTTTGCTCTAAATAATTGTGCTTTTTCTTTTGTATTTCTTACTTCTTCTATTATATGTTGTTTTATCAAATAAATTAATACAGCGTCACTATCCAAACAATTCCTTATAGCATCCCAGAATGGTATTGCATCAACACCACACGTTCGTATAATACTCGATACTACATGATAATCTTCTAAACGACAAATCTAACATAAAATAAGTATTGGTTCTACAAATAGAAAAATAAGAATGTTATTAACAAACATTCCATATTGCATTTGATTTAATACTTTCAGGAATGTCTAAACTAATTTCAACTTCCTCTTTAACTTTGGGTTTCTTCTTAAATATTGAAATTCTACTCATTTACTGTATGAACAATTTTATTGTTTTCTAGTTTTACTCGATTTTTTTATCTCAAAAAAAAGATTATATTCAACAGAACTTGTTTTGATTTACCTTAAAGTTTGTCTTTAGTTCACAAAATTTGACAAATTTTGATGAAATATGAAAAGACTTTTTTATAGAATAGTAAATTTGTAAAAAGATATTATCCAATAAACCTTTATTTTATCAAAAAATAGAAGATTCAAAGAAAAAAAACTAAAAATAAAGAAAAATGAAGTCAAAAGCAGAGAAAATAAACAATGAAAGTATAGAACTTGAGTTTCAAAAAGCTTTTAAAGAACAAAGGAAACAGAAGTCAAAACAGAAGAAAAAACCAATACAAAATGATTTTGATCAAAAACAATTTGATTTATTAATTCAACAAGAACAAGCAAAAAGACAACTTCAGAAAGAAGAAACAAAAAAACTTGTTGAAGAATATTCTCAACTTACTGCACCATGTTTCGGAAAAGGTGAAATGATAATTCCAGATTCAATCTCTTTTGGAAAAGAAATTAGACAAGTACTGAAATGTAAAATACCAAATAATTGCACTTGGGATTATAACCTTAATTGCAAAACACTAACATCTCTTTGTATACACAAAGAAGGAAACTTTTTAGTTTGTTCAGGCAATGATGGAATAATAAGGGTATGTGGTTTAAAAGAAAAAAGTGTTGTTGAAAATTTAATTGGACATCAATCTATGATTCCTAGGGTCACATTTTATGATAATTTTGTTATTTCTGTTTCAATGGATGGAACTATAAAAGTTTGGGACATTATAAAAGGAGAAGTTATTACTGGATGGACTGAAGCACCAAATTCAACTGATGAGAAACCACCATATAAATGTCTTATTGCCAATGAAAATGGGATTTTTGCAGGGTGTACAAACAAAAGGATATTTCAATATGATATAAGAGAAAAAAAACATACTAGTGAATATATAGTTGATTCAATTCCATTAGACGTTGCCCATTGTGGAAAAGGAATAGTATGTTCATCGGAAGATAAAATAATAAGGTATTATGACTTAGGAAGTGGTTCAGTTACAAAGGAAATTCAAGACCCGAATATTCAAGCAATGTTTTGTTTAAATGATTATCATGGAAAATATGTTATTGCACAATCAATGGATAATTCAATTGTTTGTTTTAGAGGAGATCCATTTAGACAAATGAGTGGAAGGGTATTTAGAGGCCATTACCCAGGAGCCTGGTCGTGTCGTCCTTCTTTTAGTCCAGATGGACAATATGTTCTTTCTGGAGATGCTAATGGTAAAATTTTTATATGGAGTTGGAAAAAAGGAAAAATACTAAAAGTATTTGAACATGCCCATAAAGGATGTGTAACTGATGTAATTTGGCATTCAACCAATGACTCTTCATTTATATCTTGTGGATGGGATGGTAATTTATGTTATTGGAATTAATTTATATTTATTTTATATCTAAAATAACTTACTGATAAACACATTAAAAAAGAAACAATAAATTTTATTACTTCTTTGTTTATAACTTCAATTTACTGTTAATTTAATCCAACTTTTGGAATCCAATTTCAACAGCCTTTTCTCTGAAACATCTTCTGCATAAATCAAGTCCATATTTTCTAATAAGACCTTTACGGGCTCCACATTTTCTACAAGTTCTTGAACCATTTCCATAGTTTCTTGGATGAGCGTTGTAAATAGAGTAGCTTCCCATTCTGAGTGGATTATCACTTTATTAAGATCATTTTATTCTTTGAAAACCCTTTTCATTTTTTTAATTAATTAATTATAAAATTTACAAGTTTATACTTCTTTTAATTATTTTTAACATTCCTCATATTTCATTCTTTATTTTATTTTCTTATTAATCTTCTTTTTTTTTTAATAAAAATACAATATTATGAAACTATTATTTTTCAATAAAATCTAAAACCCTAAAACTGATCACAATAATCTAAAAGACCTTCTCATGTCTCATAGAAAGTTTGAAGCACCAAGACACGGATCACTTGCTTTCCATCCAAGAAAGAGAGTTCATAAAGTAAGAGCTACTGTCTCTG